GATTATGGGTACTTTTCATGCTTTCCATGCCCAGGGCTCTTTTGAGAAAAGCTTGAATGCCACTTTTGTTGTCCTCATTCCGAAAAAGGGTGGGGCGTTGGATATCAGGGAGTTTCACCCTATTTGCTTGGTGGGGTGCATTTACAAGTTGATTGTTAAAGTCTTGGCTTCTAGGTTGAGGAAGGTATTAGATGGTGTCATTTCGGATTCTCATAATGCCTTTATGAGAGGTCGCCAGATTTTGGACTCAGTTCTTATTGCTAGCAAGTGTGTTGACTCCAGATTGAGTAGTGGGAATCCGGGGGTTTTGTGCAAGCTGGATATCGAGAAGGCTTATGATCATGTGAGTTGGAGTTTCCTCCTCTACTTGATGGAGAGGATGGGATTTGGGGAGAGGTGGAGGAGATGGATTCTGTTTTGCATCTCTTGTGCGCGTTTTTCAGTTCTTGTTAATGGAGGTCCGACCGGTTTTTTCTCTAGTTCGAGGGGTTTGAGACAAGGGGATCCTATTTCTTCGTTCTTGTTCCTTTTGTGATTGAGGCCCTTAGTAGATTGATTTAGAGGGCGGTGGAGTTGGGGTTTTTGAGAGGTTTTAGAGTGGGCAGGGATGTGGTTAGCCAGTTGGAAATTTCCCACTTGATGTTTGCTGATGATACTTTAGTGCTCTATGATGCTGATGCTGATCAGTTGAGATATCTGAGATGTGTTTTGGTCTGATTCCAAGTTGTTTCTGGGTTGAAGGTGAATGTTGGTAAGAGTGTTCTTGTATCGGTTGGGGAGGTCGCTGAGATTGAGAGGTTGGCACAGATTCTTGGATGTCGCACTGGCTTTTTTCCTATTTCCTATTTAGGGTTGCCCCTGGGCGCTCCTTCGAGATGTGTAGGGAGTTGGGATCCAGTTGTGGATAGATTTAAGAAAAGATTGGCAGGTTGGAAGAAGCAGTATCTCTCTAAGGGGGGAAGGGTCACTTTGATTAAGAATGCCATTTCTTGTCTCCCCACTTATTTCATCTCTCTCTTTCAGATTCCTTCCCCTGTGGCGGAGAGGATTGAAAGATTGCAGCGAAATTTTCTTTGGGGGGGAAGAGGTGAGGAGTTCAAGTTTCACTTGGTTTGTTGGGAGCAAGTTTGTTGCCCTATTTGGAGGGGTGGCTTAGGGATTAGAAGGTTGTTGCCTTTCAACAAAGCTCTCCTTGGGAAATGGCTTTGGAGGTTTGGGGTGGAGAGGCGTTGGCTCTGGAGGAGGGTTATTGCGCACAAATTTGGGGAGAGCAGTGGTGGGTGGTGTTCTCTCGTGGGTCGTGGTCCTAGGGGAGTGGGGGTTTGGACTGGCATTCGAAAAGGGTGGGATGAATTCTGCAAGCATGTTTGTTTTCGAATCAGGGATGGTAGGAGGATCAGATTTTGGGAGGACCTCTGGTGTGGGAATTTTCCTCTGGCTATCGCTTTTCCACGACTTTACAGGATTGCTTCTAATAAGCAGGCATTGGTGGTTGACTGTTATCATCTTGATAACAGGAGACTGACTTAGGATGTTCAGTTTAGGAGGCACTTCCAGGATTGGGAGATTGAGGACGTCACCCGATTTTTGGATTTTCTGTACCGTCAGACGATCACAGCTGGGGATTCTGATTGTTGGTTGTGGATCCCCAACCCTCGGGGTCGCTTCGAAGTGAGGTCCTTTTTCAAGTGTCTTACGGTAGGCGCTGGAGGCTTTTTCCCTTGGAAGTCTATTTGGCCATCGAAGGCCCCCCTCAAGGTGGCCTTCTTTACGTGGACTTTTGTCTTGGGTAGGATTTTAACCCAGGATAATTTGAGGAAGAGGAACTAGGTGGTGATTAATAGATGTTATTTGTGTTTGCGTGATGAGGAGACTATCGATCACCTTCTGATTCATTGCTGCATGGCTAGGGGATGTTGGGATTTGATGATTGGGTTATTTGGGATCCCGTGGGTGATGCCTTACTCCACTAGAGGGTTGATGGAGGCTTGGAGAGGGTGTTCAGTGGGGACTCTCATTCGGGACGCTTGGAGGGCTACGCCTCTTTGTATTTGGTGGTGCATTTGGCTTGAGAGAAATCGGAAATACTTCGATGGAAAGGAAAAACACATCTCTATGATTAAGTTCTCTATTCTTTCCACTCTTTTTTGTTGGATTTCAGGGAGGGATTATCGATCTGTTGAGGAATTGGTTATTTTTTTGGCCTCTTTGAAGGCTTGAGGTGTTTTTGCCTTATTTTTATGTTCTAGGGTTTCGCTCCCCCTTTAAGCGGTTTCTCAATAAATTTTACTTATTACAAAAAAAAAAAAAAAAAAAAAAAAACATTAGTCAGGTTGGACAAAAGTTGTTTAGCTTTTCTCTCGTCTTCTGCTTCAATATCAGAAATTGTTTTCAGATCTCCACTCTTTTGGAGATGCTCACCAATGATACTTTTGGAATAAAAGTCGCCATCCCATGTAACCCATCCGTACAACTTGTATCCAAGGAATTTTGAAATATATAAGACTCGATAATTGGATTCCTTCTCTTCAACCACACTTTCTCAGCTCCCAAAACAGAGCACATTGAGAGATTATTATTTTTCCCTTAAGACTGACCCCATTCATTTGGGATGAAGGCATGAATGGAGATGATTATATTTTGCTCAAGTAAATAGAGAAATTATTTACCACACTATTCCTTAACTCGTATTACTGAATTATTTAATATTAATCATCTGTTTCATTGACCAAAAATATTAAAGAAGAAAGATAAGAGAATGAAAATGAAATAATTATTTTATCTGCTCTTCCCCACTTGTTCACAGCTACCAAGCAGAGCCTATACAATACAAATGGAGATGTTATCAGAAAATAAAATAAAATCGAATAACTTAAAAGCTATCTGTTTAGCTTCTTGTTATAAGGAAATCATTATAAACCAAACAAATTGTGAATAATGTCACAAGATAAGCAAAGCTGTATCTTCTTACGCCCTCCTCTGATCCTCAAGAACACATGAAGAGAATCAAAATGAAGTACCCAAATAAGCCACATGGAAGTATTACTATCATTGATTAAACATTTGTATTTTCTTCAGTTGCGAAAAATTAAAATAATGTCTCTAAGAACAGAAATTTCTTTTAATCCCTCTAATTTTCTCTATAACCAAACAGATGAGATACTCAGGAGACAAAATAAAGAAGCAGATACATCATGAGAGAGAAACAGAGTATCTAATATAGGCACAATCAAAATCGAAAAAATATATATATATATGAACATATACATACACGTATGTAAAGACTACTCTAGGAATAGAAATGCAATATTAAATATACTCACCTTTGTAAAAATGCATTGAATGTGCTGGGTGTAAGAAAAATGATCACACAAACCCTAGCAACTTCTGAACTTCTAACCGAAGGAGAGAGAGCTGATAAAGAGCCAAGCAATAGCTCGTGGGTTTTGCACGCAGAGCTAGAGAAGAAGACTGTGATCTCTGCAAAAGAAGTAACACTACGCGCTGGTATTTTAGTAATTTCACGTAAAATTTTGGTGTACACTGGAATGGGTACAATTTTGGTGTACACGAATAATAGAAAGACGTAACACTACGCGCTGGTATTTTAGTAATTTCACGTAAAATCCTGAACGTAGTAGAAGTGGAATGGAGGCACGTGGCGACATATCTTGATGTTGTTGCTGTTTTTGGAAAGAGTATATCTTCAATTCTTTGGGCCCGTTCATGTACCTGGCGCGCGACTGGCACTAAAGTTCCCAATTTCCTAAATTGCTACTAATTTTACCAATATGTTTCATTATCAACACAATTAATTTTTATTTATTTATTTGGTAAACCCAATCTAAAGCCATTTCTAGTATAATTTAGCTGATTCGACCTTTATTTTTAAATATAAAAAAATACTGTAAAGTACTCGTCCTTCAGTTCGCTATTATTAAAATCACTTAGATAGATCAAATGTTCAGAAAATAACTTCTACATCTATTGCTATTAAACGATGCTATTTTAGTATTTTAAATTAAATTCATAAGGCAAATGAATATGGAACTAAAAGTAATATAAAAACGATTCTCCAGTTGAATTTATTTAGGTCAAACAAATTGATTTCCATTGTTTGATTAAAAAAAAAAAAATTAAAAAAAAAAAATCCTCAATGGTACTGTATTCTTTGATTATCAGATTAATATGGACAGATGATCAATTAAGCCACCATTAAAACTCATTTATTCCAAGCATAAAAAGTCTGAGCACAATCAGGCAGTGATCTACCTCACTAATACATCCCAACTGACTTTTGGAATTAAATCATGCAACAAAGCTTTAATAAAAAGAAGTAATAATTTCTCCTTTTCACCTCTCGGATAAATCTGGACTGTTGTTTGCAGCCCATGCGTGTACAACCTAAAATGGTTAATGCTGTTGAATTTTTCTTTCAAGACTCGTCGGCGCGCAAATGCAGTCTCAAATTTTCACTGAATCATGCTGTAGATAAATCTTGTCAATACTCCACATTTGAAATTCAAAACAAATTTTCTCTCAAGACTCATCTACAAACAAGCATTCCTTCTTACTACTATATATAACTAACATATATTATGTTCTTCTGCCAATCCAACTAATATATAAGCAATATAGAGTACTAAGTTTCTCTTGTACATGCCTGGTAACTAATCCCATGAGCAACACAAAATTAAATTTTACCATAAAAAGTTACTGCAGATAAGTTGAAGTTGCCTCCAAGCTCAGCAAAAGATGCCATCTCCACATCCAATAAAACTAGCTATTGATATCCTGCAGGATGCAACAAAAATTGGATATCAGTGAAATGAAAATTAGAACATTATTGACACAATGTAGTAGAGAAATAGAAAAGGTTCATCCACATAATATTAATATCAATATTAAAGATAACAACAAAAAAAACTAAGTTCTGATGATAGATATTTTTTCTAGATATAAACATTCAACAATGCATATCACCAACCTTGTATTACCAAGCCTATGTAGAGTCATTCTATTTTCAACATCTAGTTCCTTCTCCGTTTATACATTCTCCACTGCTTCAGTACATAAGATAGTCCTTCCTTCAATGTCGCTTTCTTTCCATCTTTGAAATTCCACAGCTCTGGTATTGTGTACCTTCCACTGGGGTTGTACTCATTCATCTCCATCAAGGCAATTGTCACAGCAGAGTATACCTCTTCGCCAAACTCATTTTTCAGATCTTTCAGTTTTTCGTCCGTTTCATTGATAATTTCCTAAGCAGCAACACAAATTAACCATATAATTAGGTAAACCATAAAACACACACACGCGCGCGCAAGTTGCTAATTTGCATCTCAATCTCATATATATTCAAACTAGGGTTGTACAATTGCTTCTATCCCTCCCATCTTTCAATAAATAGTAATAAGTGAAAGAAAAGTATCATTTCCCCATTCATATTTACGCAGATAATAAATTAACTATATCTATTGGAATGATCAAATGAATTTAAAATTTAAAATATGTGCCTATCCAATGTTTTATCAAGTGTGCAGCTGCAGATGAAAAATTGGCAACCAACAGTGCTACTGGAAATGCATAAGCATGTTGAAGAGGGAAATATATACTCCATTAATAAAAAGTAATTATTGCAAATGTTACTCAGAAACGCATACCTTATGGTCCTCACAGCCTTCAATTGCGATGACCTTAAATGGATGCCAGCTTGGATCCTTCAGGTAATCCTCCCACAACGAACAAAGCTCCATAGCCTTTTCTTCTGCTTCTTCTTTAGAGTACTTTCTTTTGGTTGAAAGGTGGAATGAAGTACTGTCAAGCTCTCCCATCCGTTTGACACCAATAGAACGGGAAGACTGTTCCTTGAAGAACTAGAAGGGAAGGAAATACCTAGTGAGCTACATAACGTAAGGTATCCCACAGGATTTTTTTTTTCAAGGATTCAACCTTCTCAGCATATGCAATTTAAGAGCAGCAAAACACATTTACTTTTCTTTTCCATTTTATGAACTAAATCATGGTTAAAGATTCACAATTAGTAAGATGTTAACAACATTTTCTTTTGGGAAAGACATCTTATCAATCAGTACCGGTAAATTCAAATTGTGATGGGGTTTAGAACTTTTAAATAGCTTTAGTCACTTTATAGAATTCATCTCACTGGTTCCAACTTCCAACCTTGCAAATCTTCTTTCCCATAACATAAGCAGCAAAACTGAAAATCTTTCACAAGATTATAGTTATAGTAGTGAAGATTCAATCATACCAAGTAATGTGGCAGATGAGCTCTAAATCTCTATAACATGTTGTCAGAGACAGCTTGGTCAAAAATTGAGAAAATGCTTACAGAGAAACAACTCGGAACATATCTACAGTCCATTAATCCAGTTAATATGCATTTGAAACATATCATAGGAGACCGTCATCTCCAGAAAATCGCAACTACCTGAACAGCTGCCTCATTAAAGATGGTCTCTTTTGCATAAATTAAATTCCCATCGGGCATTAATTATTGAGCTAAGGCCTATTGTGCTATAGATGGATTATCAACTTGTACTTACACCTTGCTTTCAGCATAAACTTATAAAGGCATTCATTGCATGCCTTTTCTGGCATCGTATTCTTAAATTTCAGCAGATGTGCATTTTCAGGTATAATCCACTTAGCAGAGTATAGAGAAGCAGCAAGCAGTTGCTGGGCAAGTTCATGCACAAGTTCCCCAAGCTGCCTTAGTTGTTTCTTTTGTTCATCACTACAGTGAGCACGCATTGCTAGCTATGTAATTCGGCCTTAAGAGATAGCAAAAAGGATAAAGAGGAAAGTGGAAGAGAAAACTATCCTAGGTGTGTTCTGCCATCAGCAAACCTGAAATGATACTATTGGTATTTAAGACAAGACAAAGATCTAGTTATCTTTCCATCTTCAGTTTTCTGGCCCTCAAAAGTCCTCAAGATTTGTGTTCTGGAACAGACTAATAATAGAAGGAAAATTTAAATTCCTTATAGTGGGTGCAGGTGTGAGTTTCAGTTAAGACGTGTGTCACATGTCAAATGCCAAAATCTTAGGATAGAGGAAACAAACTGAATTCTTCAACTATCCAACTTTTCTCCACCATAAACCTTCCAAGTACGTGAAGTTTTTGTATAGCACCATGCAAGGTATGGATATTTCAAAGTTCACTCACCTTTCAAAGGAATAAAATGAGTAAGCATCCTAAATAACCTCTACTGAGCTATGGAGTTGCTCCTCTTTTCTGTTGTGAAGTGTCAAACAATCACACAGGGTACATGTTCAAAATCATGTGTGCATGTCATACGCATTTTCACATCACATTTTACACTTTTTGAAGTGAACATGTATCATAAATATGATTTGAGTCTTTTGAATTAAGATAAATGAAAGAAGGAGATTGGGGCATGTGTACAATTAATGCAATCAGGAAAAAGAAGTGCGTGAGTTATGAGAGATCCTTGGGAGTTTAGAATTGAAGGTTACTATCAAAGGATTCCTGCATTTTTTGACTAGAAATATTGGCAGCTGCGAGAAAAATGTGAAGAAAGAAAACCACAACTTACATTAATTAACTCCTTCCGGGCTTCTTGCAGTTCATCATTGCTTTTGCGCTCCTTGACAATGAGAGCTTGACTCAATGCTTCTAGGCTTTCAAGTTCTTCTTCCTTCTCTTTCAGATCTTCATGGATTGCATCCATCTTTTTCTTGACTTTTGTATCCCCATCCTCTCCTTCTCCTATGTGTTTCATTACTTGTAAAGCCCCTCTCATTTGCTCTATCTCCAACTCCAGTACCTGTTTGGCATCAAGCTTCTTTTCTAGTTCAATAATTCTTTTGTGAAGTTTTTCTTTCTCCCTCTGCAATTAAAGTCACAGTCAAAAAAGTTCGAAAGCTTCTAGAGAATCATAATTTTTTTTCCTGGTGATTTAAGTCAAAACAAAAAAATGGGTAGAATACCTTTTGATCTTCAGCCAATCTTAAAACATTCCCATCCACCTTCTTTTGCTCCAAGGTTGCTCTCTCATTCTAAAAGAACAAAGCAAATCTGTTACTATTGTTGACAAAGATTCAAATGTGTGATATTTAGCCTACTGCAATACCAGTCAATGCCTAAGAAAAAATCTAGCATATACTCTTCAATCCCATAAAAAGATCAGCATTTTGCAGTGCAAAAGAAAATGAACATATATTGAAGATACTGAGATTCGACACCAATGCAAGTATGTATCAGTTTCTTGTCCATTTTGCTCAAATCAAATTGGCCCAATACTTGAAACAGGTTCAGATGTGTACAGGATATTTTAGTTAAAATCAAAATAATTATACACAAAAAAAATCGAATATGAGGAAGATTTCTTATCGATATCCTAACTGTTGGTTTTATTTTTATCTTGCAAGTCCTAGCATCTGCTGAAATGACACAAATTTTGTATCTAATAAACCTACTTAGTAAACTAGTTGAATTTGACCCTACAGCACTTCAAATATTCCCAAGCAATACACAAGAACCAGTTGCATAGTCTTGGTTTAAATCAATGAGTCAACCAGGGGGAGGGTGGGGGTCATTAATTCTTTCATTCAGTTCTTCCTAAAATGGAAGAAAATCAAATACAAGATGCAGTACCATTTTCTTCTCACAGTAGAGCCTCCTTCTCTCATTTTCATTGTGGATCTCCCGTTCCATCAATTCCTTCTCACGGTGCTTGAGTTCTTTGCTCTGGGCTTCCAACTGCAGAGTGATCATTTCATGCTCCTTGGAGATCCTTTCAAGTTGATCCCTTGCATTCTGCTGCATCTTTTGTATCTCTAGTTTTCATCAAGTTAAAAATAATAGTGTGAGCATGGTAAGGAAGAACAAAAAAAAACCAAAAAAAAAACAAGGAAACACATCAGGAACTAATTAGTTGTTGCAAACTAGCCTTGTCAAGCACATATAAGAGTGTGTACCTTCATTATAAGTTCGGTGCATCTCATCTTTTTGAGTGATTAGCTTGGTTAGGGATAGCGATGTTTCATTATATTTACACTCCATCTCCTTAAGGTACATCTTTTTCTCCTCAATAACATCGGTCAGTTTGGACAAAAGTTTTGTAGTTTTTCTCTCGTCTTCAGCTTCAATCTCAGAAATTGTTTTCAGATCCCCAGTCTTTCGGAGATGGTCACCAATGATACTTTTGGAATAGAAATCGCCATCCCTTGCAACCCATCCATACAACTTGTCTCCGAGGCATTTTGATCCATAATAATCCCTCTTTCCCTTGTGATCTGCTTCAAAAGTCTTCTCATACATCATTGCATTACTGAATCCAGGCCAATCTTTGTTAAACTCTACTATTGCATACCCTGAATGACCTCTATAGTTCCACAGAGGATGAACCCTCACAGGGTTAAAACCCTTCCTGGCAAGATCATCTCTAAGCTTTGATCCACTTCCCCCAATATACCTTCCGTCCTTCTGCTCAAGGGGAATGTTAGCTATGATTCCCATCCAAGGCCAAACAAACAGCTCATTCACATCTTTGCCTTTAACATAGTCACTATTCTGTCTTGTGGATTCTAGTGGCGGTGACCTCTTCACGTCAAGATAATTTTTCATATACCTCGCCAAACCTAAATGCATCCCCTTCTCTTTTATACCCCTCTTCCGTGAGCCCTTCCCAACACCATCTGCGTGCTGTAGGAGGTCCTTATAGGCATAATTCTGCTTCTTCCCATGACAGAATGGGCATCTATATTTCTCATCTGAAATTTGCACCTTCACACTTCCATTCTTCAACTGCTCATAATATTTATCACTATATTCCTCCAACTCCGACTCGCTGATATCTGTTTCCTCTTCTGATGAGTAAGACATTTCTTTCAAACAGCCTAAAATGAAACAAAACCATCAGAAGTTATCCACACTATGTTTGGTTACTGAAAAAGCAGTATGGGAAAGAAAGAAAAAGAAAAAGGAAATGGGACACTCCCGAGTCAGTTGTTTGTGTTTCCTTAACTCACTCATATTACTTCAAACAGCTAACCCTTATAGTAATATTTATGGTCAGAAGTATTGCAACACTGAAATATAAAGACTCATTAACCCCACTTTCTCAGCCCCCAAAACAGAGCATAAACAGAGTATTATGTTTTTACCCAAGACTACTTACCCAGGAGGATGAAGATGATGATTTTTGCTTAAGTTAATAGAAAGATCATTTACCACATTATTCCTTAACTCACATCACTGAATAATTTTACATTATTCCTCTGTTTCATTGAAAAAGAAAAAAAAAGGAAAAAAGAAAGGTATGAAACCATAAGTTTCTTTGGAGAATGAAAATTGAATAATTATTCATAACCACATATATCTATTCTTCCCCACATATTCACAGCTACAGAGCAGAGCAGAAAATAAAATAAAATCGAATAGCTTAAAGCTGATGCTCATCCACAGATTCTTTGTACTGTTTGGGTTTAGCTTCTAGTTGTAATGAAATCATTTTAAACAAAAAAAATTGTGAACAATATCGGAAGATAAGCAAAGCTTTATTTCCTCTATACTCAAGATTACAGAAAGAAAATTAAAAAAAAAAAAAAAAGAAATACCAAATAAACCATATAGATGTATTAATTTCGTTGATAAACATTCGTATTTTCTTTCGGTCACAAAAAAATGAAAATGATCTCTCTCAGAATTACATACGTTTCTTTTAATCCCTCTTGTTTTCTCTTGAACCAAACATGAAATAACTCGTGAAACAAACGGAGCAGCAGCTCAGATACATAAACATGTATGTGTAAACTGTAAACTGTAAACTGTAAAGATTACTCGAGCAATACAAATGCAATTTTGAATCAACATATATACTCACCTTTGGAAAAATGCAATAGAATACTCAGAAAATTCAAGCAACTTCTATCCGGAAGAGAGAGCTCTTGAGTTGAGAGACTAGCAATGGCGCAAGGGTTTTGCAGAGAGAGAGAGAGAGAGAGTAGAGAGAGAAAACAAGGTTGTGCTCTGCAAATGCTGGAACGAGTACCTGCTTATGAGTGGCGTTAACGACGCACTGTACCTATGGAGTGACTGACTCTACGCGCCGTCGAGGAGTGGTCAATATAGTGGTGGTATTTTAGTCATTTCAAATAAAATCCTGGACGTAGGTACTGTGGAATGTAGCACGTGGCGTGATATCTGAGCGAGTGTGTGCTATAAGAAGTCGATTGGAAGTAGTGATGTTGTTGCCGTTTTAAGGGATGAGTATTTTTTTATCATGGGCCATGTTTATGATTCGCTGTTGACACTTTTTTTTTTGGCAAGGAGGGGTAGATGAGAAGGCAAACTTGGGTCTTCTCATTGGCTGTTGACACTTTCCAAATTTCGTGAATTGATGCAACTTTAGGCAGCTTCCTTACAGCTCTAATTTTTTGAAATTATGAATATATTTCATTATCATCAGAGAGAATTGCTCACCAACGTATTTGATTATTTTTTTTTAATTTTAATTTTCTTTTGTACATGAATTTTGTGACTAGATATAAAGCGAATGACATACTTCTTTTGTCCCAAATTAAATATCCTGGGTAACCGTAATCAGGATATCTAATTTGAAATGGAGGTAGTATTTATTCTAATAATTTAATGTGACATGTTATGTCATTTCTATTGAAACGAAATTGGAATCATCTTATTAGAAGTAGAGTTCAAAAGTGATAAAGTTTTAATTAAAAATTAATATATAAATAAATATTAATTTTATTTACTATAATATTCTTCTTCTTTTTTTATTTCTTAGGATAATTTTTAATTTTTACAACATTTTTGTTATTATAATTATTAAATATTTGATTATATTATAAAAAAAAAAATTACAAACTTTATCTTAAAATTCTTCTAAGTTTGAATTGTTTATTTCATTGGTAGAAAGGTTTGGGAAAGGAATGCCTACTTGGAAATCCCTGCCACTATTAAAACTAATTTTTTCGGTGCATAAAAATCCTGAGCACAACCAGACAGTGATTTACCCCGCCTAATGCAACTCAAGTATCCCAACCACTTGTGATTTATTCATTTGAACACACATCAGACATTAGGGCATACAACAAAGCTTTAATAAAAAAAAGTTCTTAAGTTGTCATTTTCACTTACATTGGATAAATCCTGGACTGTTGTTTACATCCCATGCATGTACAATTTCTTTCAAGACATCTACAAAAGTAGTCACAAATGTTCACTAAATCAAGCACATTCTTGTCAACACACTACATTTGAAATTCTCAACACAACCTTCAGTTTCTCTTCCTTTCATACAATTTCCACTTTCCAGTCTGCTTCAGTGTTGCTATCCTTCCTTCTCTGCAATTCCATCTTCATTCTTTAGACTTCACAAACCTCTAACAGCATCCTGATTTACCAAACAATAGTGTAAATGCAAAAGAACAATGAAATATAGTATAAATTCGAATCGAGAAACTCTAGACGACTACAACATGATGGCCAGTATTGAGAGAAACAATCTTGATTTTGAATCCGTCACGCACTACATTGACCTACTTACGGCTGGCATCTGGCAGTGTTATGCTGGACACAGAACATCAAAACAAGCAAAAGAAAAAACTAACAGTACAAGGACTGCTAGAAACTATCCTTGCCCTTGCAAATTATGCAATAACATTGGTTCTACACAATTAAGTCCGGCCTTGTAGAAATTCAAAAGTTATTAAACTAATAACATCATGAATGGTTTTCAGTGATGCCTCTTCTGATAAATTACCTATATTAATTATTTGTGCTTTCAGTCTCTTTCTCAATGCATAAACTTCTGCAGCTGGTTTATAACAGAAAAAAGGCAACATCTTTCTATTGGTTTGTCATTGGCAACCTTTTTCCCCTTTTAATTTGGAGATTAACAATTCCAACATAACAGTTTAGCATGCTCGAGTGGCTTCATTCGTATAGCTTTTAAAAGCGGTAAGCTTATAGCAATATAAAGAACACATGAGATATCAACCTCTAGATCCCAAAATTTGGATTAATCAGCAACTAATCAAGGACACAGAAAAAAAATTAAAAAAAAAAAAAAAAATCAATGTGCAATCATAACCAATTAAATCAAGAGATAGAGCGAACAAAAAGACAAACAGAGATAGAGATAGAAGGGGGGTGGGGGCAAGGGCTAAATCCAGTTGAGAATACCATGAAGCAATAAAAAGAACTTCTGTCATCGTGTTACACTGCTTTTTAGGATATAACAGTCCACAGAATCAAAAGGCTTTTAAATCTTAACAGCCAGAGGCACTATTTTAAGGTAAGGCTCACAGGTAACAGAGGGCTTGAGTCATGTGATGTTTGGCCCTCAAGGTATGAAGCACTCAATAGGCACCATTTGCACCCTTGGCTTATGCTTAAATGTACGCAACCACTACAGCCATATTTAGAACAGTGATTTGTTCTCCAACTATAGATTGGAATATAGAATAAACTACATTAAAAACAAGTTTAATTCTAGCCTACTTTCTTAACTATTAAACATGTCTGACATTATAAAGTCATATCTTTGTCATAAAAAATCCTATGAGTTCATTTGGCAAATGGAATACAACATTCCTTCTCATGCTGCTCGAGTTCTTTGCTCTGGGCTTCCAATTAGAAAGTGATCTTTTCATGGTCCTTCGAGATCCTTTCAAGTTGATCCCATGCATTCTGCTGCATCTTTAGTATTTCTAGTTTTTCAACTAGTTAAAAATAGTACTGTGAGCTTTGTGATGAAGAATAAAAGAAATGGAAACAAATCAGCAATTAACAAGTTGCCGCAAACTAGCTTAGTCAAGCACATTAAAGAGTATGTACCTTCATTATAAGCTCGGCACATCTCATCTTTTTGAGCGATCAAGTTGGTTAGGGATATTCACGTTTCATTATATCTACACTCCATCTCCTTAAGGTGCATCCTATTCTCCTCCATATCATTAGTCAGGTTGGACAGAAGTTCAGTAGTTTTTCTCGTCTTCAGCTTCAATCTCAGAAATTGTTTTCAAATCCCGATTCTTTCAGAGATGCTCACCAATGATACTTTTGGAACAAGTTTCAACCAATCCATACAACTTGTCTCCAAGGCATTTTGATCCATTATAATCTCTCTTTCACTTGTGATCTGCTTCAAAAATCTTCTCAAACATCATTGCATTATCGAATCCAGGCCAATCTCTGTGAAACACTACTATTGCATACCCTGAATGACCTCTATAGTTCCACATGAACCCTCTCACAGGTTCAAAACCCTTCCTTGCAAGATCTTCTCTAAGCTTTGACCCGCTTCCCCTGGTGTACCTTCCGTCCTTCCATTCAAGGGGAATGTAAGCTAAAATTCCCATCCAAGGCCAAGAAAACAGCGCGCTCGTTCACATCTTTGTCCTTAGCATACTCACTATTCTGTCTTTTGGATTCTGGTGGTGACCCCTTCACATCAAGATAACTTTTTCATATGCCTCGCTAAACCTAAGTGCTTCCCCTTCTCTTTTATACGCTAAAGCCCTTCCCAATACCATTTCGCGTTTCTTCCCGTGACAATATGAGCATCTATATTTCCCATCTGAAATTTGCACCGTAACAATAACATTCCTCTACTGCTCATGATATTTATCAGCATATTCCTCCAACTCAGACTCACTAATCTCTGTTTCCTCTTCTGCCAACTCCCTCATTTTCTTATCAGCCTTCTTTTGCTCCAAAATTTCCCTCTCATTCTTCAAGTTCACATGTACTCTGCTGCAACTTTTTCATCTCTAATTTACAAAAAGTAAGATAAGTAAAAGGCATAAGAAATCATAATAATGAACAAACAAATGCAAAATGGAAAATGTCTTTAGCCATGA